GATTTTCATAACAGAAGACAGCTAGCTGATACATAACAAGCCAAGTAACACCAAATGCTCCTTGGAATTTGGCTTCCTCTGAAGGAAATCCTTGATCCCTTCAGGTAGTGACTTTGCCATAACCAAATGAGTTCTTATGATATATTCCTGCGGCCCTCAGCACAATCCTCCCCCTCCAGCCAGGTCACCAGGCTTGAATTCCTACAGGGTCATAAAGGCAGGTAAGAATTTTCCTCAGGCAGTGACTGTCAGGCTTTCATTCACAACCCAAAAAGGGAGTGAGTGGTTAAAGGAGGAGGTCAACTGAGAGTTAATCATCCGTTAGTATATCAAGAAAAGGGGATTTATGTGCTCAGTCTACATTCCTAGAAGTGGTTATGTAAGAAGTTAGGAGTCTACAATGTTAGTAAGGATGTGTAAGAAAGGAGGGTCTCAGCTTAAATTACACAAGAAATAAAGCTATCTGCCTGACCCAGGAGACAGGCATTGTTTCTACAAGGGTATTTCCTTAGTTTAAGGGATCGTTTGGCCTTGGATGCTTGATAAGTATTTTAGATAAATATACTGTTAGGAGTTCTTGGAAGCATATAGCATACAAGAAAATCACTGTAGGAACCAACTAATAAAATGTCACCAAGACTTCTTAAGCCATGGCTTGACCTTTGGAAAAGTCAAGTAGCAGCTTTTGGTGACATTTGGAGTTCCACTGCGTTTTCCTGCAGCTTGCAGGAGTTTGCAGTTCATTCTCATCTCTTGCCTCTTCTTTCCTCTCCTGCTTCTCTCGTCTTTCTTGTTTTGTGTGCCTTGCCTCTTCCCTTTTTCCACCAGGCTTTTTGGGCCACCGACCAGCTCCCAAATCATGACACAGAGACTTTTCTTATTAGTTTTGAGTGCTCGGCCTAGTTTAGGCTCGTTTCTGGCTAGCTCCTTTAACTTAAGTTAATCTGTTTCTCTTTATCTACCCATTGCCTTGGGGCTTTTTACTTTTTCTGCTGACTGAGGCTGTCTGGCCCGTCGAGGGCGTGTCCCTCTCTCTCTCTTCATTATCTCCTTCTTTTGTTTCTGTTTCTCTCTCTCCGCTCTGGAGACTAGATTCCTCCTCTTTTTTATTCTCTCTGTCCACCAGCCTCGCCTACTCTTTCTCTGCCTAACTATTGGCCATCCAGCTCTTTATTAGACCAATCAGGTGCCTTAGGCAGGCAAGGTGAAACAAATGCCACCCATCTTTACATAATTAAACAAAAGCAGCATAAAGTAACACACCTTTGCACAGTTAAAGTCATATTCTGCAGCAAAAACAAATGTAATACATCCTCGCATAGTTGAGATAATATTCTACAGCACCTGTTCTGTCTGTCCGTCTGTCTTCTGTCCCCACCCTGAGACGC